TCCTAGTCATTTATTCCAAACTCATCTGTCACAGCTGTGATATTGGAGCCGGAGCCTCTCAGAGATGTCGTTTTTAACAATTTGGAGACTGCTGTAATTGAATGTGCTGTCGCTGATGACTGGCTGACTCTGAAGTGCCGTTGAATTATTAGCTTTTATTTCACACCGCCGACAGTTCAGGTCCGTGTGTAAAAACAGTTAGTGCATAAGTACACTGATTTGATAAGAGTGATTCCCAACATAGGGGGTGGGCCCCCCACGTGGACCATGGAGTTACTGATTCGACATCGTCAGTCAGAATATTCTGACCTGTATCTTTAACAAGTTCTTCCACGTCTTCCTGTAGGATCACTGCTGTGTTTTAAACAGCATCGTTGGATGGGACAGCACCATCGGCAAGTGGGCAAGAGTAGAAGGAACCCCGAGTGACCCCAACCCCAACGATCCCTTTGCAAAGATTGACAGTGAGACCCTGTTCAGAGAAGGAAAACTCACTCCCTCCATTACTATTCTTGGTGAGTGCACACTGGAGGCAACGCTCAGTAGAAAGAAAAAAAAGAATTCAGTCGAAAAAGTATTTCTGTCAGCGTTTTTTAATAGTCATTGCAGAAATAAAAAGTTGAGGTGTGCATGTGAGAAGTTTTCCCATTTTCCAAACTTCTCAGACAAATTAGATGTGGAGAAAAGATAAATACTTGACTTATCTCAGCTGAGGCTGGGATCAGCGTTTTTATGGATGGGCTGCTTTCCTTTTTGAATAGTAAAAAATTTCAAGGTGGTTTTTTTTATTATTGATCTGGGCCTAAAATGTCCGTCTTTTCAGACCCTGAATGTTAAGTGCAACGATATGGTTTCATATGAGTTGTGTGAATGTGTAGTATGCAGTAATGTCCTAGATACACAGTATGATTGTGTACCCAGTACACACAGGTGCAGATGGAGTCTCATGTCCTCATGTCTGTGTTTTGTCCTCAGGTTGTAACGTGACCATTCCCTCTGAAGTCATTATTCTCAACTCCATTGTCCTCCCTCATAAAGACCTGAACCGCAGCTTCAAAAACCAAATCATTCTCTAGCTAATCTTCCCAGCTCTTCTGTCCACCTGATGAAGGATGAGCAGCCGCTGCCGCTGAGTTACTGTACCCACGTCAGAGATGGAAATAAGGGCTTCTGAAAGAGTTTGTCCTCAGGCCTTATGCATCACTGAGTGTCAGCAGTGTTAGAGAGGAGCTAATCACACATGCTGATTCACCTTGAAAAATACTGTCACGCCAGGAGTTTATATTGGTTTTTTATTAACTTTGCCAAACGCTAAAAATTACAGCGCACACCCTGTTTGGTCGGACGTAAAAGTAAATAATGTTTCTAAAAAGCATCAGTGACAAACCTGAGATTTGTTCCTGGAGCAGAAGGTTCTGAAAATAAAAGTCCCAGACTTTTGGCTGATTAATTTTATTTATGAGGAACTCTGATTAAAATCCTGAAGCGTCTTTTATTGGAGCTGACTATCAATCTGAAGCAGGCTGCAGATTTACATCGCAATCAACTAATCAAGTAATGTCGGCTTTTTAAAATGCACTCAGTGGGGGGGGGCTGAGGGGAGGGCACGGGACGAGACCATGTAATGTAAGCAGCAACAGCAGATACTTCATCAGTGCATCTGCAATCACTGCCATAACTTCTTTTTTTTTCCAATTTATGGAAAGAGCAAATTAGCATTTACTGGTGAAGCCTTCCTGACGTCCCATGATCCTCTCTGCCGATTGGGACAAACAAAGTAAACGTGCGATGAGGTGAGGCTTCCTCTGTTCACGTCTCCTCATGTTGATTCAAGTCGTTGCTGCATTATGGGAGATGTGAATTAAATCATTTATTATGACTAGTTTTGTTCATAAGTGCTGATTTTTGCAGCTCCAAATGTTTCCATCTGAAATATTCATTTTGTGTGGAATGGATTTGTTTTGAGTTTAATTCCTCATTTTCACCTCGTCTTAGGTTCAGTCCACATTGTTTTTCTGCATTTGAAAAGATTTCCAGGTAAAACGTGATGATTGTATAAAGTGAGCTGCGAAGCTGCTGGACTGTCACTCAATCTCCACTTAATCCAACGGCAGAAACACAGCACCGACTAAGAGCAGCGTTTCTAAGTGTTTGACATCTCAGGATGTGCAAATACTTTCCAGAAAAAGGCTTTAATAACCTGCTGTCTGCATTTAATGGCTGTAGAATTGGAGCCTTGTTAAAGCGAGTCCTTTAGTGGCTCTAACTAATGGCATAACAAATGATGTTTCCTTTCAGCTGCTGCAGTTAACAAACGGAACCTTTAACGTCAGTGTTGTTTAAAAGAAACAAGGTGAAAACAGGAGAGCACAATGTTTTCACCCAAAATGGAACATGGAACTACTGTTCAGTGAACACTTTCAGCTGGTCATTCGTTTCTGATGGCCACGTGGCCATGGCGTTTGAAAGTCACTGGTTTTCTGGAGGTACTCCAGTCTCCCCACACAGTCCAACAAAATGTTTCTTTGTGTTTGTCTTTCTTCAATTCCTGAGACTATATCAGCCTAGTGTTCAACTAAACAGGCTCAGTAAGTCATTCTTCTGTCAATTGTATTTCATTTCATATAAAATATGGGACATCGTGTTTTGATGCTGTGGTGAATCGTGGGATTTTCCTGATCTAAAATATGTGCCGCGGCCCAACACTGCTGTAATGGACGAGTGATTATAGCTGTTGCTAATTAAAACTAAGTATTTAGAAATAATCAATAACTCGTCAATTTAAAAAAGTAAATTCACTGATTGAGTCAGGAGTCACACAGAATCGTGGATTTAATAAAGAAATTAACAAAGAATGTATTGAGTTATTTTTTTTTACTTAAAATACAAAAACAAAATTGTAATATTTGGGGAAATAGAAATACTTTCAGGATTATACCTTTAAAACATGAAAATCATTTATAATATTTAACAGTGAATTTAAAATGCTGTCGCCATAGATACGGCCAAATATAAATCACATGTTTTGTGTCTTTTCTAACTGTAGGAATAACTGTTCAAATGTAGGATTTGATTTTTACAGTTTTCTACAGTTTTGTTCATTTTTCTTATGTTGATATTGTTACAGTGTAAACTGTAGTTGACAGTTTATCTCCTTAATAAACATGTTCCAACTGTAAAGGTTAAAAATACCAAAATATTCTTATTCTGACACAGGATACACACACACACACACACACATTTAGGAGCAGCTGAACCGAAGTGGAATTTGGCAACGAATCCAGGGTCTGCTGAGGTAAAAAAAAAAAAGAAATGTTGAGTTTTTTAAGAAAAGTGGATGTTTCCTGCAGTGTTTCTGTGTGTGTGTGTGTGTGTGTGTGTGTGAACGGGCGAGGGTCCAGTGGTGTTTCCACCTGAGAGGACAGCAGGAGGACTTCCATGTCTGTGCTCTCAGAGGATGAAGCCTAACACAAACCTAAAGGACTGACAAATGAGCTGTCATACAGGAAGTGACATCTCACGCTGCTCAAACTCAGATAAAAAAAAAAAAGCATTTGGCTGTCATGCATCACTAGCAGTGAATGCTAATGTTTTGCTAAACTGTGCTCTGAAACATCAAGGAGCGTCAGATCCCACAGGAGAGTGGAGCAGGTGGTTTTGTTCCTCACTCAGCAGATGTGCTGTGTTCCACGAACAGGAAGTCACGGTGTTTGACTCCTGACTTTGATGAATGCAACGTAATCTCTGCGAAACAGAAAAGTCAACTTTACAACAAATCTATCTCCACGGCGAGGAGAAAGTGGCAAAAGTATGAAGGGTAAAATTGGCAACAAAGTTATTTAAATTTAAAAGTTCTTTTAATTAAACTTCACAACAGGAAGTTTCCAATCTGGTACTTGGTTTGTTATTTTGTTTGTTTTCAAAATAAAATAACAAATAGCTCAATCTTAAATCCAAAGCCCCCCCCCCCCCCCCCCCCCCAACCAGCTGGTTTGAATATGCTGACTTTGTTCCCTCTAAGAATAATTGTATTTTCATGTGTCCTCCGCTGATATCAGACAAACACAAATATGTGACTGACCAAAGTCATTCATCTCTGTTGATCTTTGAAGACAGGACGGTTGATGTGGACGTCTGTCGTCCAGACCGTCGTCTGTAGTCATCAACCCGAGCGTGTGGAGCTGCTGTAACTGAAAACATCTAGAGCCACCGTGGACTCCGGCTCCAATCAGCCACTGGTGCCTGAATGATGTCACTGTTCTTCAGTAACGCAGCTGTGAAATGATACAATGACACAGCACAAAGCCGTCTTTTACAACTCCTGCTTAGTCCATTTTTCTCCCTTCAGGAAAAAAAGTATGATTTTTGCTTCAAATGTTCTTTGAATAAATGATAACAAATCCAATACTGCGCTCCTGCAGAGATGTGGTTTAAGGGCAGAGATGAGAAAAGGAGCGTAGCTGTCTGTCAGACTCCCCCGTGATGTTTGAAGAACTTCTTAATATCCACAGTATTCACCTGACCGTGGGCTCTTCCACTCTCACTTCTGACTCCACTGATTTCATCAGCGTCTCTTTATTTGTTGAGCTGCAGCTCAGATTTAAAGTCTTCAACCACTCTGTTCCATCTCCAGCTGAGGAAGGACTTTAACTGTAAGAGAAAGAAGAACTCTCTCTACACCAAACATTCAGTGCACATTCAACACTATCAATATAATGAACACAATGTATTAAAAACTCCTAAGTGGTGAAATGATGGAGTCATTAGAATTAACCAGCAGTTCACAGGGTTATTATTGAGTTTCCACGGCCATGTATTGGTATTTATTCACTGACTGTACAAAATATTGTATTGTTAATATGTTAAATCGAGTCTTGTTTCAGTCGCGAGACCTGGCAACCCTTGGGTTTACGCCAACCTTCTCCTTCTGCCAGATCTGTTTATTATAAACCGGTGTGGGTTTGTTTTTCTTTGAATTCCCTAGAGTATTAACTTTGACGACTTGAGAAGAATGAGTTTATCTTTTAACCTCCTTCTGTTCCTCACTAAACGAAAACGCGTAGTTTTCCGGTTGCATCCACATCAGAATGGCGATCGCCTGTATGACCCGCCCCTTCTTACTTCTGATTGGTTGCTGATCTCCGCAAGCTAAATGAATTGTTGTATATTTGTAACTTAACTTTTTTTTTCATTTATTTGGGGGCGTGGTTGTGTCGCTCCTTCCGGGTTTCGTTTTTACGGAGTTTTCTTAATTCTCTCGCGAGACCTGGCAACGCGAACCTCTTTCCACCTGTGTGGACTTGATTGCGTGTGGACCGAACTGTGCCTGAGTTTCTGACTCTTTAGCTTAACTGTTTGTTCTTCCACCCGAATGTAGTCGAGCATTTTAAGACCATTGTTTGTTTGTTTGTTTTGATTAGTCAAATAATTCATTATTCTTCAACGTCCAAAGAAAACGGAACAAGTTTGGTGCGATTTATTGGTAAGTTTGAATAAATGTAGAAAAATACAACGAGTGAAGTCAGTTCTGTGATTAGTCGGTAAATATTTTGACGACTAAATGTCGAGTCCTGGTTGTAATCTAATGTGTAATTAGATTAACTGGCGATTTGCGCGCCTACGGGTCATTGGTAGTACTGCAGATAGTTCGTGAGCGCGTCAGCCTCACTGAGCGCAGGAAGTAAGACTACGTAAACGTTAACGTTAACGTTGTGGCGGACGACGATTTCCGTAGCGATATATTGAGCTCTGCTTTTCACGATATTTGTAAAAAAAAAATTAAAAAATGCAGGATTAATGATGATTCTTCCTCGGTGATTAATCGTATTAAAAGTGTTAGTTGATCGACAAGCCGACTTTCTTTCAGTTTGGTTGTAAAGTCTTTTACTTTTGGTTTAAGTGAGATCCCATCACCACTTCCTGTTTGACCTGTCACATTAGTCATCCCAGTCACGTGGCTTGGTGCCGAGATGAAGAGAAGCTGTAGGTTCCGTTGAGTAACCACTGACAGCTGACGGCTCAGCAGCCAATGAGAGGCTTGATCACACGGGGCCGGAAAGCTGCTTGATTTATGCCGTGGTGTAGATGGTCCAAACGTCTCCTCCTGAATTATTTATCAGACATGCGCAGTACCGCTCTGCATTCTGAACGCGGGCTTGCATCGCATATGATAATGTAGCGCAGCTACATGCTAATGGAGGACGGCAGTGGGATTATTTGTAGTAATAAAA